GTTATCTACTCACCAATCCAGTGTAAATCCTTGGGATTTACCATCTTGACAAAGTTGTTAGAGCGGGTGTTAAACGTCACTCTGTTTTTTAATGTCACACAATCGTACAATACGCTTTGTTACAATTGGTTTCTTTTATAAGTGGTAAAGTTTATCAACTCACTAATCCAATGTAATTTTTTCTGATTTTAGTAATCGAAAAAGCGCCCCCCCCCCCTCTAGGAAGCTGAAAGCGGTCTTTTTTCTGGTCATTGTTTCCCCATAAAATACAAAGATTATATAGGGAAATACGATTGGTCAGTTTTGACCCATTCCAGATTTTCCCCGGAAATGGCGAGTTTTTTCTGACACCCCTAGGTGTTCTCCTACCACCTTACAAAATATCATGGGGGGTCGTTCGGCAAGACATTTTTCGGGGAAAACATGGTAATTTCAACATGAACTTTAGGATACTCAACCTCTATTTATCTGGCCATTTTTTTTTTTGGTGCATGCACCTATATAGATGACTAGGCCGTATTGAAAAACTGTTGGTCAGACTCAAAACATTCTTCTCCCCCCCCCCCCCCCCCCCCCCCCCCCAACCCCTTCATTTAATCCTCTGTGCAAATAATGTTTAAAGTTACAAAATCAATACGTCGAGATCATGCGCCAGAACAAAAAGATACATCTCAAAATAGAGTGAATACAATTGTATCTGTGTATCTATCTATCTATCGGGTGTAGGACAAAAGGCCGACATCCAAAAGGCCGACATGACATAAGACCGACAGCTATAAGGCACACAGCTATAAAGCCGACGTACCATAAGGCCGACAGATTATAAGGCAGACAAACCATAAGGCCGACAAACCACAAGGCCGACAAGCAATAAAAACACTAATATCGCAACATATGTTTTACTGCATAGCTCCTATCTTGACAACCACTGAATTAAGGCATGAAAAATGGCGAAACTTTCAAGAGAAGAGACGGTGCTAGTTGATATCCTTATAAGGTTAACCATCGGGTAAAGCGACTTGAGATTACGGGAGTGTCTTAAACACAAGGAATCAACACCTAATTATTACAAAATGCGGTCACTGCTGTTTTTCATAGCTCCTTCTGTGCAATCGAGGTGAGATAATCATCAAACAACCAAATCAAAAGCCGCCGGCATCATCACCCACATGCAAAAAGGTGGAACGCCAAGAGACAATGCAAGTTGCGATCCTTATAAGGTGGACAATGGGGTCCGTGCGACTAGGGATGACGGGAGTTTACAAAGAATAAACAGATCGGTGGCCTTAACTACATATTTTGCAAAGAAATCAAAGAAACCAAATGAAGTAGAAAAATCGCGTTCCTTCACTGGACTATATGTTAAATACTGACAAAATGTGAATTATATTTTAGTTTCGGCCATTGCGAATTGCGTGAAAAAAAGTGTATACTATATTCATTGGATTCATTAGTTCTGTTGTGATTGTGATACAAGTGTGCCAAAATTGGTAAGTTATTTTTATTTTTTGTGTAAACTTACCCCTGTGATTTCCCTATATATGGACTAATTTATCGGCAACAAATAATTGGCTACATCGTGTGTTTTATTTTATCCTATTGTATGTACCTAAGAATATTTATGAGAAACTCAAAAAGTCGTATATAATTACATATTTTATATATTAAACATCTCTGTAGTTGTAGTTTGTTATTTATAAACTTGTCGGCCTTTTGTCTTGTCGGCCTTTTAGCAGTCGGCCTTTTAGCAGTCGGCCTTTTGTCTTGTCGGCCTTTTGGATGTCGGCCTTTTGTCTTGTCGGTCTTGTGTCTTGTCGGCCTTTTAGATGTCGGCCTTTTAGCAGTCGCCTGTTTGTCGGCCGTTTGTCTTGTCGGTCTTTTGTCTTGTCGGCCTTTTGTCACTGTCGGCCTTTTGTCCGTGTTGGCCTTTTGTCCGGATCCCTTATCTTATCTATCTATATAATTTTAAAAAAAAATTCAATTATTTTTTTTTGAAATGGGAATATTAAAGTAGAGTTTACCTTTTTCTTAATCCTCTGCATATGAAGGGATATTGTGTTCAGAGACATACTCGGCCGGAATCGTTTTTTTTAAACGATAAAAACATGTCTGAGACTTGGCGGGACACTGGGCAGGAGAAGTAGATTTGAGTAGGTGACATGTGACGTCATTATATGAAGGGATGGTGTGGTAAGACCCATGCTCAGCCGAAATCGGTGTTTTTCAAAGATAAAAAAACAACATAAAAAACGTTTTAATAACAAGCTTTTATGTAATGATGCACTAAAAAGTAGAAAATAAATTATACACTCCTATTTAAATTACTATAAAGAAAATCGTGGGTCACTTTAGTACTTTAGTACCTATTGGATACCTTTACTAATATTTGAGAAGAGACCCACGCTTTTCTTTATAGTAATTTAAATAGTAGTGTATAATTTATTTTCTACTTTTTAGTGCATCATTACATAAAAGCTTGTTATTAAAATGTTTTTTATGATTTTTTTTTCAGTACTTTACAAGTTTTATTTGCAATAGTGTTACAAGACTAAAAACCATTGCGCGTCTATTGAACGTGATAGCGCAGCTATTAAACCTGATTGGACGTGATGACGTATGTAGTGTGGTTGGATAGACATGCCTACTAATTCGGTCCAAATTTTAATTAATTCATGAAAAATTAATTAGGCATCCAATTAAGTCAAATTTAGATTCAGATTGTATTGTCTTCATGTCTTGACCCACGTGCCAACTGTGAATCGTATCGGTCAAGTAGAACTGTCCGAATTTTCACTCCTGCGTTTCGATCTAGACTGACGACAAACAGACTGTCGACAGAGGAAGTGAGTTAAATAAAAGCTTGTAAAAACGTCTTTTTGAATGTGGGGTCTGGCTTTTGTGACGTTAAGTGACAGAAGTGATGTTTTTTTATGGATGACTCCCGAAACCCACAGTTATCCAAGGAATGACGGGTAGTCTAGTATACTACTAAAATTCAAGTCTGTTTACATGTTTGAATATTTATTTATTTTTGTCCGTTTGGTTACAGGAGAGAATCTGCACTATGTGTAGAGCTGTAAAATAATATTTGGGTAGAGAAGAATATTCTTTTTTAAACAGACTGTTAATCACAAATTAATTTAAAGACGTGAATTAGTTAATTTATTGATTTATTCATTGGTAGATTAACTACATTAATTATGTAATTTCAGAACAATGACTTTACTTTTAGTGCCGTCACATGATTTATTTGCTTTTTAATCCAACAATGGCAGCTTCCATCGAAGATTGTGTTGCCCATTGAAAACTTTAACGCTTTATAAAACTAATTTTCTCTCTGCTATAGCTTTAAAGATGCGCCCGTTAGCTATATTTAAAAGGTTTCAACACTATTATCATTTTTAACAGTTTTATTTATTTTAGAAGTCTATACAATAAATTTCTCTACATCTGCAGATTAGCTGTCGAAGGAAGAAAAAGTTAAAGATCTAGAATCTAGATCTATGTCAAACCAAAATTAATCAGTTAAAATAAAATCATTTATAAAATCACGTAAAATTATTGAGTTTCTTTATTAAACTATTTTACTCCTTATATTTGATATATATATATATATATATATATATATATATATATATATATATATATATATATATGATATAAATCTTTGCTTTTTAGCCTTAAGTATCATCTAATTCAAGAATACAAGGGATTTATCTATCTAGGTTCTAGATCTAGATTGTCTAGAACTACGGGTTTACTATGGAAAACTAGACCAAACCAGTCGTAGAATCTAGACAACTCTATCTCGATATAGATCTAGATAATAATGAGGTTCTATAATAAACTATTTCAGACCTTCATTTTTAATATAAATCTTTTTTTGTCTAACTATGGAATTGGCTAATTTGGGATATAGATCTAGGCCCCTAATTTATGTTAAAATAATAGGCCATATTCGCGTTAACTGATTTCTTACTTTGAGGTAAATTATAGTACTAATTATACGTTAGGTAGTCGCTGCTCAAAAAGCTAATATGTTAGTGTAATGGTTACCATGCGGGTGGCACGGGTTCGAGACACATCACGACAAAGTGAGTTTTTTTTTTTTTAAATTTCTTTTTTTTAAAACTTGAATGATAAAGTTGCCTTTCGGGAACTCGCGGGACACAGGGCTGGTGAAGTAGAGTGTATCTGTTTCTGTGTCCTCAACATATAAAGGGATAGTGTGGTCAGAGTCATGTTCGCCTGAAATCGTTTTTTTTTTAAACGATAAAAACATGTTGTCTGAGACTTGGCAGGACACTGGGCAGTGAAGTAGAGTTGGGTAGAGGTAGAGTTTACCTGTGACGTCTGCATATGAAGGGACAGTGTGGACGGAACCATTCTCAGCCGAAATCGGTGTTTTTTAAAGACAAAAAACGTCTTTTTGAATGTGGGGTCTGGTTATTTTGTGATGATAAGTGACAGACGTGATGTCTTTTATAGATGACCCCCGAAACCCACAGTTATCTAACTAGGTAACGGGTAGTCCAGTATACTACTAAAACTAAAGTTTGTTTACCTGTTTGAATATTTTTTTTCCCGTTTGGTTACAGAATAGAATCTTCACTATGTGTAGAGCTGTAAAATAGTATTGAGGTAGAGAACAATTTTATTTTCTAAACAGACTGTTAATCACTAACTAATTTAAAGACGTTAATTAATTTATTGATTTATTCATTGGTAGATGAACCACATTAATTATAATAGTTCAGAACAATGATTTTACTTATAGTGAATAGTGAATAGTCACGTCACATGATTCATTTACTTTTTACAACAATAATGGCAGCTTCCATACTAATTCATACTTCCATTGCTAATTCAAAAGTAACTATAACGCATTATATAGCTAATGTTCTGTCGGCTATAGCTTTAACGATACGTTCGTTTGCTATTTTTATTACGTTCCAACACATAGATCTATATTAATTTTCATCAGTCCTTTTCATTTAACCGTGGCCCATAATGCAATGCTTTGGTTTACTTTGGTTGGCCATTGTTCCTCATCGATCAATATTCAAACACACGCTTCAACAACGTAGTAACTGAATTTCAAGCATTACTGATCATTTGTGTTTGCTTCAAGCAATTCTCAAGGTAAATATTTTAATTTTCTTATTTTGTAACAGTTCTAGATCTATCTGAAAGTTGTTTTATTGTTAATTTATGCTAAATCTAGATTTAGTTTAGTCTGGTCTAGATCTAGATCTAGATCTAGATTTCTAGATCTAGGATCTATCTAGACTTCTAGATCTAGAATCTAGATTCTAGCTAGAGTAGATAGTCTAGCTACTTTACTAGCTAGGCAATTCTAGATCTAGATCTATATCTAGATTAGATCTAACTCTAGTACTAACATGTTCATAATTATATAACAACTTATTACCTGTAATAATCTAGTAGTTATAATTAGATTTACTATTTCAGTTAGTAGTAAGACTTATTCTAGATGTAGTAACTGTAATCAATGTTTATTGACTAATTACTTATTATTTTTCAGTGAAATGGCACCCATCAAACGAGCTGCAGTCAGCAGAAACAAACGCAATGTTCGTTCCAAGAAAGCTGCCATGGCCAATGCAAGATCTTTCATGCTTACAAACAAAGCCCAGATTCAGCTGAATGAGCCAACACTTTCAACTGAAACTCCAGGAACTAGCAACCAGGACACTGTGTTACCAGATATTCATGTAAGAGAATCTGCTTCCAAGCGGAAGCTAAACTTTTCTGCCTGTTTATTTCAAGACAAGCCTGATGTTGATGTGCCTAAAAGCAACGAGCTCTCATCATATACTTTGATTGATCTAAGCAATTTGGGCAGCCTATTCAGCGAGCTGAGCTGTAATGTATGCTGTGAAAAGCTCGCGTTATCTTGTGAAAAGAGAACTGGCTCTGTGCTGATCTTGCGAGTTGCTTGCTCCAAGTGTAATGTGCTCCATAGTAGCACTCCAACATCTAAAACACTTGCAGATAGCAAGCATTCTGAGATTAACAGGCGGCTGGTTGCTTCTTTTCTAAACATAGGACTAGGACATGCTGGGATGGAAGCATTCTGTGAGGCGATGGGGATGGACTCAATGGAACAAAAGACATACATGGCCCATCTCAATGCCATACACAAGAAAAATGAAGCTTTAAGTGATGTGGTAAAAGCTGAAGCTGTAAATACAGTAAAAAAAACTGTATGGCGCAGAAGCAGATAAACCTCTTGACATCACTGTCAGTTTTCATGGTACGTGGTACAAGAGGGGTCATACCTCAAAACATGGACTTGGCGTTGTCATTGAGTCAACAACAGGATTGGCAGTGGATTTTCATGTTATGTCCACACATTGTCAGGTAGAATAATAATTATAGTTTTATTATTATTTAGTATATTTGTGTTGTCAAATAATTACAATTTGCTACTGAAGTCTTATTTTTTCTAGCTGTGTTCAACAACAGGCAAGATTAAGAGGAAAGAGGGACAGGAGGCCTACTTAGAGTGGTATCAGTCACGCAAAGGTGACTGTGACATAAACCATACTGGGTCTTCAGGTCTCATGGAGGTAGAGGCAGCAAAGACCATGTGGCAGCGTTCGTTAGACAATGGTCTGAGGTATACTACGTTTGTCAGCGATGGTGATTGCAAAACCTACAATGAGCTCATGATCCTGTCACCTTATGATGTGCCAATCCAAAAAGAAGAGTGCACAAACCATGTGTCGAAGAGGCTAGGCACAGCACTCAGGAACCTGGTGGCACATGAGTCCAAGAGTGGCCGGACATTAGGTAGGCGTAAAACAGGAAGCCTAACACAAGTGAGTGCAATTCAAAATTTCTTGCATCATATAAGAATTACTACATTCTTTTTTTTTCTTGTTTGTAAAACAAAAATATTTTACCTTCAGGTAAAAATGAACCTCCTCCAAAAATATTACAAGAAGGCTGTGTCCAGCAGGTGCAGCACTACTGAGGAGCTGAGGCACAAAATAATGATGAGCTACAATCACGCTACATCAACCGACGATAAACCAAACCACAGTGACTGTCCTGCCGGTGAATCGTCCTGGTGCTTTTGGCAGCGAGCTCTTGCTCTCAATTTACAACCTCCCTCACACATTGGGAGGAGCAGCTGCTTTCTATCAGAGGTGGTGGCTGAAAAGGTAAAGCCTATTTATGAGAGGCTCACCTCTGATAGTCTGCTCTCCCGATGCTTTTCAGGCATGACACAAAATGCAAATGAAAGCATACATGCCAAGATTTGGGCTCGCGTCCGCAAGCATATTTTTGTAGGAAAAAAAAGAGTTGATGTGGGCACTTCACTTTCAGTAGCTGAGTTCAATTCAGGAAGTGTTGGCCTACACAATTTTTTGCAGCACATTGGCTGTAAAATCAGTAATATAACACTGAAAAAAGGGGGAAAAGGGACACACAGCGTGTGTCTAAAGCTGAAAGAAAGGAGTGTTTGGAGGTGAAAAGAAGAAAAAAAGAAATAGTTAGTGCCAGGATTGTTGCTCAGCAAGACTTTGAGTGTATGGAAGGTGGTAAAAGTTAGTGCAGGGAAATTTTAATTTTTTTATTTTTTAATCATTGTGGGGTGGAGTGGTTCAAAAATGTATAAAAATTCTGCAGGTTTTTAGATTATTTATTTCTCACATTTATTATGTTTTACACTTGAATTATCTATGTAAATAATGCATGTTTTTTCTTATAGCTATTTGTACATAATAAAAAATTTTGATTTGAAAGTTTAATTTTGTGTTTTCTCCATTTTGTCAATTTTAGGGTAGTGATGACAGGGGTAGCAATCTCATTCAATTATTTCTCATCAGAATTGCTTATAATTTGTGCTATGTGTGCTTAACATATTTTACTATGGTCGTGCAAAGGGGTTTTACTTTATTATAATTTTTTAAAAAAGTTTTTAATATTACATTTTGGCCGTTCAACTGATATAAAATGCTAAACAACGAAGGAAAATAGTAAAATTAACTAAAAATTTATTTTTTAAAATATCGAAATTTCCCTTTGCACATCCATTAAAAATACAAACTTCCTGATGACTGCAAAGTTTCTTTGAATTTGTATGTATAGTTTTAGAGTTAAATTGTTTCTACTATATACTTAAAATTGCACTTTCCGACCCCCTATTTCCACTATCAAAACTCAAAAATATGTTTCATCATTTTGAAAAGTATTTTTTATTAAGGTTTTGGGCCTAATTGATTCAGTAAATAACAAAACTTGTCTCTAAGCTGTCATTTTTTTAATTTGGTGTATTGACTACCCATCCCCCCTTAAATATAAAATATATTTCTCTAGATTCTATATCTGGAATTTAACGATCAGCTGTCGAAGTGAGTTATTTATAGATCTAGAATGTAGGTCAAACCAAAATTAATTAGTTAAAATTAAAAAGCATTTTAAAATCAGAATACATTATTGAGTTTCTTTATTAAACTATTTTAGTCCTTAAATATTTGATATAAATCTTTGCTTTTTAGCTTCACGGATCATCTAATTCAAGGATACATGTGATTTAATATTTGATATAAATCTTTGCTTTTTAGCTTCACTGATCATCTAATTCAAGGATACAAGTGATTTATCTATCTAGGTTCTAGCTAGATCTAAGAGAAAACTCGACTTAACCAAACCAGTCGTAGAATCTAGATAACTCTTACTATCTAGATCTAGATAATAATGAGTTTCTATACTAAACTATTTCTTACCTTCATTATTTTATATAAATCTTTGTTTGTTTAGCTATGGTATTTGCTTATTTAAGATAAATTTTAATTTGAAATAATACTAGATCTAGGGCCTATTCGCGTAATCAAGTTTCTTAAGCAGAATCAAAGTATTAATATAGAGCACTAACACAAAAAGCCTAGATAGCTAAAGTGTTAGTGTAATAGGCTTCCATGCGGGTGGCACGGGTTCTAGACACATCTTGTCTATGTTAAATATTGCTTTTTTTTAGATGTGAATGATGAAGTTGCTTATCGGAACATGGCGGGATACAGGGCAGGTGAAGTAGAGTTCTTCTGTTTATTTGTCTTAAGCATATAATTTGGATACTGTGGTCAGAGCCATGCTCGGCCGGAATCTTTTTTTTTTTAAACGATAAAACATGTTGTCTGAGACTCGGCGGAACATTGGGCAGATGAAGTAGAGTTGGGTAGGTGTAATGTTCACCTGTGACGTCATTGTTGTGTTAGTGTTGGGTTGTGCTGTGGTTCTGTTGTGTTAATATTGTGTTTGTGTTGTGTTTGTTTGTGTTATGTTTGCGGTTCTTTTGTTGTGTGTTTAGGTTTGGGTTGATTGTGGTTAGGGTGGGCAATGTCGGGTATATGCTGATTACAAAACACACATGCCATGGTCATTTACAGATAGGTTTTTAACAGAGGCCAGTGCAGGGCCTGGCCGGGACGGCTAGTATGTATATAAATTCGTTTATTGTTTAGCTGTTGTTGTTTTGTTGTTGTTGTTTTTGTTTTTTCTTTTTTTTTTCAGCTTGATCTGCGCATTTATACTATGTGTAGAGCTATAAAACGTTTATGTAGAGAAAAACATCTTTGTTTTAAAAATGTTATATACAAATATATATAAAGACGGTAATTAATGTATTGATATAATCATTGGTAGAAACTCAACTTTAATTATAAAATTTCAGAACCAATATTTTTATTATACTTATTTCTACAAGAAAAAATAATTTTGTTCAGAAAAAAAAACAACTATAAAAACACAATAAATAATTGATTTTCTTTATTAAACTATTTTATTCCCTAAATATTTTATTTACATCTTTGCTTCCTATAAATGGCATTATTTAAATTAGGATATAATTTAATTCAAAATAATATTTGGCTAGATTTTACTTTCTCTAAACATTTATATGGCGGCAGTGTTTTTAATAGAGAAAAAGCTTGTTGGCTGAGATGTGAAGTCTTTTAGATTTTTTTTTAGCTTTTTTTGTGAGCGTGTGTGACAGTGTAGAGGGAGAAATGGAAGACAAAAATCGTCAAACAAGTGTGTCGTAATTTCTTAATGACCCCGTAACACACATCTATCCAAGGATAACGGGCGGTCTTGTTAAGGGGATATACTCAGTTTTTTTTCTTTTATTACAATTTAAGATCTAAAGCCTTTTGAATAATTTTATAATGTTTCGCACATGAAAGTAAGTATTAAACAACTAAAACATTTTTTGAAAAAAAATCAATGTTGTCATAGAAAACGAAAACCTCCGATTTTTTAATATTTTTCGATACTTTTAACAACGCTAAGGCTTTCTTATTTATGCAATTATAGCAATCAAATTTAAACGGCTTAAATTTATATTATATCATTACATCTTTTATCACGTCGACTTTTTCAAAAAGCTATTGGACAGACTTTTCATGGTCTGAAAAAATCATACCTTTTTAAGAATTAAAAAGTTTCATAATTTGCGCATTATTTACGATAAACGTTTATGACAGCCATCACAATTCCCTCGTGATAATAGTTTTATTTTTGCATGAAGAATTTTTTTTTTAAAATATGTTGGGCATTGTTTAATAAATAAAATAGTAGTAGGATTTATATAGTAATTCAAACAGTATTGTTTAATGCATTATTACGTAAAAGCTTGTTAGTAAAACGTTTTTTATGAAAAATATTTTTTTCTTTGTTATCAATGTGAAAATATCCCTTCGTATGCCAACGTCACTGAAACAGATAAACTCTACTTCATCTGACCCATGTGTCTTGGGCATGAGCGGGAAAAGATGATGTATGGGACTTACGAGCACTATGTCAATCACATAGTCAATCACATAGTCAATCACAGAGTCAATCACATAGTCAATCACAGATTCAATCACAGAGTCAATCACAGATTCAATCACAGAGTCAATCACAGAGTCAATCACAGAGTCAATCACAGAATCCTCATTTAGCCTAGTTCATTGCTTAAAAAAACAATATATATATATATATATATATATATATATATATATATATATATATATACATTGTATTATGTTAAACATTCGGAGCCTTTTATCGCTCCCTATAAATCTGGAAAAGACTCTGAATGCCGAGCTCATAAAAACGAAAGGCATATGTTACATATATATATAAATATATGTATATTGCTCATAAAGAAAGGCATATGTTGCACATATTACCCGCATCTTGTTATGTAAATGAAAATCTACTTGAACAGAAAAATAAATCTTTAAAACAATCAAATCAGCGCAGTTCTATAAGCAGCCAATAAGTTGCCATATTGTCTGTGGTTTCGTAATAATCAAAATAAATATGTAATTTCAAACAACTTATGTACGGATATGTATACTTGGCATACTGCCTTGCCTCGCTAAAGTTAAGGAAAACATTCGCCTAAAATCGAACCCTTTATATAAGCTATGTACTAACTAAACCAATACTAAACTTAGCAATACTGCTAATTTAATACCAACATTTTAATCGTCAAAGTCAAATTAATATTTAAAAAAAAATATCCAAGAGATTTCTTTTTGTTTCTATGTCTGATTATATAAATATATGTGGGATAGCGTGATATGATTATATAAATATATGTGGGATAGCGTGATCTTGTTTTATAACTATCTGTGGGATAGCGTGATCTGGTTTTATAACTATCTGTGGGATAGCGTGATCTGATTTTATAAATATATGTGGGATAGCGTGATCTTGTTTTATAACTATCTGTGGGATAGTGTGATCTGGAAGGGGAGGGGTAAATGGGTGAGCGACTGCTATCGTGAAAGTCTGCAGTTCAGAAACTGGATCTATGTTAGTTTAAAGTCCTGAGCCCACCCACACACGATGGTTGCATAGCTATGTTAGGTAGATCTAAGGTGGCAGGACGAACAACTTACCACACAACTATACTCCCATATTCCAAGTGAACAGAAACGTAAAATATACCTCACCTCACGTATGGCACATTTATTATTTTATCGTATACGAAATATAGAGAAAGTATTGTATGTGTGCGAAAAATCGAAATCGAGATTTTGACTAATGTCGACGTTTTATACCTCCCTGATTCGGAAAAATTTTGCAATGTTGTCTGCATGTCTGTGTGTTCGTCTGTCTGTTTGTCTGTAAACACGAGAACTTGACTATCGTTACAGCTAGGGTGACAAAATTTTATATATGAGTGTTATATCAAATGTTTTGTTCCGTATCGACTTTTCAACGATTTACGGTAACTGGAAGTAATACTTATTCTACTTTCGGTTTCCCAAAAGCGTCTATCTTGAGTACTGTTTCAGTTAATAGACGAAATTTCGTCTATTAACTGAAACAGTACTCAAGATAGACGCTTTTGGGAAACCGAAGTGAAAGATCTTATTTACTTTATGTTAAATTTTCAGTGAACTGAAGTAATACTTTACGCTATGTTAGGTTTCTCGAAAGTCGCATATGCATTTATTTTTAATTTGATTACTCTGTCAATAGTCCATCATAATCAAAAACATGGGAGCAAAATTTAGAACACTTCTACCGGACCTATTGATTTAACCTTTTCACGCCGGTCAAAACTAGAAGACATCAGATTACAGCAAGCAGTTAAAAATAATTTTAAAAATCCACTAAAATAGACTAAAATCATAATAAATACTACAATTGGTTTGCTGCATGATATTTTGTGATTTTTTGTCCATGATACAAATTTTCTGACATATTTTGTCCTGATGTATCTTATTCTTGAAATCATTTGTCCTTGATATCTTTTGTCCTAAGATCATTTGTGCCTGAATTTTTTGTCACGTCACCATATATATATATATATATATATATATATATATATATATATATATATATATATATATATATATATATATATATATATATATATATATATATATATATATATATATATATATATATAATAGGATTTTGTTCCAGGTCCCAATATTACTGTTTGCTTTGCTTGTCAGAAGATTTGGTGGATTGTCAACTTTCGGAAAGGTTTCACTAGCACACAGGATCCACTAAACGAGAGTGGCAACTTCCTTGCCAAGCTCTCTTAGTTTCATGGGTGAGTTTTTTTTCTAGCAGGTTTTTGTTGAATGGGGGGGGGGTGGCAGAGTTGCCAATCCTCCTTTTTTACTCGAGAGAATGATCTAGGATATAAATAGATTTATCGGGTAAAATTGGGTGATCCGTACAAAAACACTGACATACAAACACCTACATACAAACACCAATATACTGACATTAACACTAACCTACACACAAGTAGTATGTCTGGTTTGTTTATCAGCGTAAAAACATGTCGATTCATGTCCGTCAGGAGTCTCCATCAACAGAAGCTAATATATATATAATTCCTTTCTATTCTATTATCAGTCAAATTAACCAGTTTATTATTGATAGGCTATCCATCCGCGTTCTAATAGCAGCTGGTGACGTCTACTAATTACTACACCGAATCACAGAAACCCCTGCCCCATACCATAACCACTGTACCCCTCCACCCAATCACAGAACACCCTGCTACATACCCTAACCACTGTACCCTACACAGAACACCGTGCCCCATACCCTAACCACTGTACCCCTCCACCCAATCACAGAACACCCTGCTACATACCCTAACCACTGTACCCTACACAGAACACCCTGCCCCATACTCTCACCACTGCACCCCTACACCCAATCACAGAACCCCCTGCCCCATACCCTAACCACTGTACCCCTACACAGAACCCCCTCCCCCATACCCTAACCACTCTACCCCTACACAGAAACCCCTGCCCCATACCCTAACCACTGTACCCCTACACCCAATCACAGAACACCCTGCCCCATACCCTAACCACTGTACTCCTACACCCAATCACAGAACACCCTGCCCCATACCCTAACCACTGTACCCCTACACCCAAATCACAGAACACCCTGCCCCATACCCTAACCAATTTACCCCTACACAGAACACCCTGCCCCATACCCTAAACATTGTACCCCTACAACCAAATCACAGAACCCCCTTCCCCATACCCTAACCACTCTACCCCTACACAGAACCCCCTCCCCCATACCCTAACCACGGTACCCCTACACAGAACACCCTGCCCCATACCCTAACCAATTTACCCCTACACAGAACACCCTGCCCCATACTCTCACCACTGTACCCCTACACCCAATCACAGAACACCCTGCCCCATACCCTAACCACTGTACCCCTACACCCAATCACAGAACACCTTGCCCCATACCCTAACCAATTTACCCCTACACAGAACACCCTGCCCCATACTCTCACCACTGTACCCCTACACCCAATCACAGAACACCCTGCCCCATACCCTAACCACTGTACCCCTACACCCAATCACAGAACACCTTGCCCCATACCCTAACCAATTTACCCCTACACAGAACACCCTGCCCCATACTCTCACCACTGTACCCCTACACCCAATCACAGAACACCCTGCCCCATACCCTAACCACTGTACCCCTACACCCAATCACAGAACACCTTGCCCCATACCCTAACCAATTTACCCCTACACAGAAACCCTTCCCCATACTCTCACCACTGTACCTAAACACAGAACACCTTGCCCCATACCCTAACCACTGTACCCCTACACCCAATCACAGAACACCCTGCCCCATACTCTCACCACTGTACCCCTACACCCAATCACAGAACACCCTGCCCCATACCCTAACCACTGTACCCCTACACCCAATCACAGAACACCTTGCCCCATACCCTAACCAATTTACCCCTACACAGAAACCCTTCCCCATACTCTCACCACTGTACCTAAACATAGAACACCTTGCCCCATACCCTCACCACTGTACCCCTACACCCAATCACAGAACACCCTACTCCATACCCTAACCACTGTACCCCTACACAGAACACCCTTCCCCATACTCTCACCACTGTACCTAAACACAGAACACCTTGCCCCATACCCTAACCACTGTACCCCTATACAGCTTTATGGTTTCAATACCTGATGACGTGGCCCCGTGTCCTATATTTAGTCCACTTGTCCAATTTAAAATCAGTTTGCCTAGGCGGTTTACTGTTTTTTTTTTTGCAAACAGTAAACCTGTCTACAGACGATGTCTTATCTCAGGGCTCGACTCTCTTTACACAGTCAGCTCCAAAAAAATGAAATCTCGGGGAGGTGTTTACCAGTTTTATTGTATCGCCTACACAGTCCCCAGCCTACACGGAGTCAAGCGATTCAAAAGCTATCAAGGTGAAACGCCCCCTCTCTCCACTTTGCTAGGTACAGCTATTCAAATATCAGGTCCCGTCAGTTTTGTGTGCTCTTAGCGGCATTAGGACCACAGCGCTCGAAGGTACGTCTAGATCATTTCAACAGATAGATGTCCTACTACACACAACACATTGGGAGTAACTGGCGTATTACAATTGATTTGGTATTTCTGAGGCTTACAGGTAAGACATAGAGTGGTACAATGAGACTTAGGCATTAGTGACATTAATAAAATTACATTGCAATGACTCAGTGCATCGTCATATCACGTGACCGTTGTAAACCCGGTGTCGGATGAAAGGTTAAAACGTATGAAAATAGTTTCAAGCAAAAATTCTCAAACTGCGGGTAGAAACACGGGACTATCAAACTAAAACTAACACTTCGTACAGAAATGACATAGAACTATGTCAATAATCCTATCAGCATCAAACTAACACTTCGTACAGAAACGACATACATAATTAGCTGCATACCCGTGCTCCGCCACGGGGAATCACTTTAAACCAATTATGGAACATAACAAAACTAAACACAAACACAAAAGAAAACACAACACAAATACAACGCAAAAACTAACACAACACAAACAGAAAAGAAAACACAAACGCAACGCAAACACAAAAACAAATGGAAAGACAAACCCCAAAAACAACGCAAACACAACAAACAAACAAAAAAGAAAACAAAAATACAACGCAAACACAAAGACAAAAAAAACACAATCGAAACACAAACGCAAAAAAAAACACAAACACAAACTGAATACTGAAAAACAAAAGACAACACAAACACAACACAAACCCATAGCGCTCACAGTATAGCCCATCGCGCACAGTCGAACCCTGCCCGGGCGCCGGCTGATTCAATTTAGAGAACGACTATAACAACCCCAGCTTGTCCGCACAGCAAACCGATAGATAAAAGTAAACATAGGGGCATTTAGGAGTGGCTTCTATACTGTTATTAAAACATATTAATTGGTATTTAAAATAATAATTAATAAACAGTATGTTCAGTGTATAAAATAAATAGAGTCAGTATTTAAAATATCTGTGTTTTACCTACCATATTGCACTTTATTAATCCATGTTAATTATACTATTCCAACAATAATTCCCTCTTGGGTGTCTGCAGATTTTGCATTCACATTTTTTTAAATTACCTCCCTACTATTATTAAAATGTATCCATTTATCTAGGCTTCTAAGCAATAATATCATTTGACATTGATCAGTTCAATATGTTTTAGCAATTTGCGTGTATTTAATATTTTCTTTACGTTATGCGAATGCGTAAAAACAGTGGAAAATATAAAATAAGTTTAAGTTGTTATATAAACAAACCTTAATAAAGGTAAGGCAATTCAATTTAAAAGCACTGCATGGTACGATGTTTACTTTTATGGTTCCAAAATCTATTGCTATGAATGACTGACACACTACCAGCAGCGTTATATTATAGATTCTGTCAACAATCCTGAAGGCCCAACCCTATTTTCTATGTCAAACGTTGTGTGATTACATATATATATTTCTTAATGACATAAAAGATAAGACAAGTTATGATAAGTTATGACAAGATATGACACAATATAACAAG